AAAAATAAAACGCGGCGTACAGAAAAAATAAAACGCGGAGTACAGAAAAATAAAACGCGCATAACACTAAAAACGCGTGTAAAATTTAAAATAAAACGTGCATAACACTAAAAATAAAATCCGTGTAAATTTTTAAACAACGCGCGTGATATAAAGAAAAATATTAATAAAAGCCGATTTTAAATTAATTATATTGTTATTGTTTCTTATTTTGTTTGTTAAAACATTTTTATATATATTTTTAGTATTATATATAAAATAAATTAATAATATAATATAATAATATTATAATTAATATATAAATATATATATTTTTTAAGTGCGGATAAATTTTTAAAAATTTATTATTATTTATTAAATACAATAGTTTATACTTAATAATGCTTATTTGTATGAACTCTTTTCATTAATTTCATTTATTTTACATAATAAATATTTTTTTTATTTCAAGTTCTTATCTATAAATTTTATTATAAACTCAATAATAAATATTTAATATAAAAAAAAATTTAAAAAAAAAAAAAAAAATTTTTACTCTCGGAATAATCAGAAATTTTTTTTTTAAAGGATCAACCAAATGATGTGTAATTTTATTTTAATTTTATTACTGTGATTGAGTTTAATATCAATAACGCCAGAAAATAATAATAATAATATTGAAATAAAATTTTTTTTTGGCACAAAAATTTTTTCTATTCTTTACTCATACTTCAGATAAAAATTTCCTATTCGATTAACTGTAAATGATAACATAAATACTTTTCAAACATTTGATTTTTTTTTACTTTGATAAAAAATTCTGAATTAAAATTTTTTATCAAAGTTTGCATAAAAAATAATTTAACAAAAATTATTTATCATTTCATATGATATTTTAATATTATAATTTTTTTAAAGTCGTATATTAAAGCAAAATCATCTCATCATGTTTAATAGGACTTACACAATTTTTTTAAGTTCTTTTATAAGTCCTATAATTCATTCTAAACAATTTGAATGCATAAAAATTAAAAATGTAATATTCTACATTATTTTGCAAATAAATGTTTAAGTTAATAATGCTGCATAGTAAATATAATTATTTAAATAATTGTATTAATTATTGATTATGATCCTTTAATCATTTGCGATTGTTTTTTGTCAAGCGGAATAAAATGTTGATAATAAGATTTTGTGAAATCAATCATTAGGTCTGGAGTGCATTCAGGAAGCTCTTCAACTAATTGTAATGAAGGACCAATTCTAGTAAATGAAGGCACTATAGTATCTGGAGGAAGTATTGTATTATCTTCAATCATGCAAGCATCCCTGAGTACGCAACTTCTACCCTAAAACATTTTATGTTAAATTGGTAAAAAAAATTTATTATATTACACATTAACTTATTAATTTTTTAATAGTAGAAAGTATAAAGTACTTACAATCACTACATTTTTTCCTATATAAACAAAAGATCCGACTAAAGCAGCACTAACAACTGAATCTTCACCAACAAATACATGATCTCCCAAATGCAAAGGAAAAAAAGTAAACCTGGAAAAAATCATTCATTAAAAGACATTTAGGTTACTGTCAATGATTTTTATTTAACTTTTACGTACCCTTTACTAAATTTTTTTGATGCTGGCCTTAGAACGGCATCTTTACCAATAATACAATATCTTCCAGTTTTTACACTAGCTAAATCTCCTCTGATGATAACATCAGAATGAACAATCACTTTACCGTGTAATAAAATATTTTGAGCACCATATAAAAATGTTTGCCTGCAAACTTTATTTCCGGATGCCTAAAAATTTTAAATCACTTATGTATTTTTTATAAAAAATTATACAAAAAGAAGTTACGAGGATGTATAGTATACCGTTTCTACGTAATCCTCTTTATTATAATAAATATCTTCGAGATTCATCGTTTTTAAGTTAGAATATTTTTATTCAATTAATGACGACAAAAACTTTTGCACTGCGCATGTCCGATATTTCGATGAAAAAATCGATATATCGCGTACGCTTGTTTACTAAATTACTTAATCATACTATTAGTCATTTTGTAATGTATATTAATTTCATGAAAAAACTTGTCACTGACTCCTTTAACATAATCCAAGAAAATAAAATAAAAAAACTAATGAAAATTATATTTGGTATATTTTTCTATAGCAAATAAACACAAAACAAAATTAATTCTCATAAATTATCATGAAAGAACTTGAATTTGATTACCACAAAAAACAGGATAGAGTTGTCACAATGATTATATTTTTAATATTTATATCTATTTGCATTAAATATTAAAAAAAAAAAAATACACTAAAATCTTAAATCTTGTAAGAACCTGATGGGTACTAACATCAGAATCACACATATTTAATAATCACAATTAATATTCAATTAAATAAATTAAAATGAGTAATAATGTTGTTTTTGATCAATTATATAATAATATTAAAAGTACTCGTTATTTTACATGAATGATTTTAAATAAACATTGATAATTCAAAGGTCTGATAAAACACAATTATAAATTATTTTTTTTTAAAAAAAACTTTTAAAATAAAATTAGTTTTTCATTCATGGAATAATAATAATACGATAAAAAATGCATTTAAAATTATTTTTTACCAGTTAGAGATTTTTATACTTAATTAGCCTACTAATATTTAATCGGCTACATTTAAAAAACAAGCTTTAATTTTTTTTTTTTTATTTAAAAAAAAAAAATTAAAAAAAAAAAAACTGTATTTACATAATAAAAAAGTATTTTTTTGTTTCAAAATTAAAACTTTCTTCTGGCCCTTCTTAAATCTTTTTCTATTTCAAATTGTCTTAAATCAGTTCTTTGCAAAAAATCTTGTTTATCTAAATATCCATCTTTTCCTTTATTATAAAGTTTAATTTCTTCTTCTATTCCTTCATTTCTTTTAAATTTATTCCAATCTAATTGAGATTTTTGTAAAGTAGACATTTTATCCTTTTTCCCAATTAAATTTAATACATTTGATAAACCACCGATTTTGGATTTGTTTGAAACACTAGGAATTCCTTTAAGTTTATTACTTAATAATTTCTTTTCAACAGGTATTTCATTGGCATTACTATTACTCTCTTTTTCTTCTACTTTTGAAACTGAACTAGTTGCAGTCTTTTTCACTTTGTTATTTACATCACTTTTAAAATCTACAATGTAGAGAAACAAAATTTTATCATTTAGTATTTCAAACACTAAAATGCAAAAACAATAAAATAATTTTTAACATGAAAATATTAAAAAACATGAAAAGATTTACCAGCCCAAAGGGCATCCACATCAATTTTTTTTTCAGTTTTTTCATTTTCATCTTCCAATTTTTCTTCATTTATGTCAGTTTTTAATCTTTTATTGCTTTTTTTGGAATTTCGGCTTTTCTTTCTAGTATTTCCATTTTTACTGTCATCTTGATTTTCGTTGTCGGTTTCTTCCGAACCTGAACCAGATTCAGATTCCTCGCCTAGTACAAATAATAAAATATATATTAGAAAATTACAATTGCATGCTTGAAATTATTTTAAAATTAAAACTGACCTTCAGGTACAAAATCGACATCACTTTCATCGCTTGAAGAAGGTAAATTTTTTTCGTCCATAATAACGCAAATAATACTAATATATGGAGGAAATTTAAATTTAATTTATTAGCACAATTTCATTTTTTATAGAGTAACGCCGATAACAATCCACATTAATTTTCAAAAAAATAAAGTTTTTTAGTTAAAATTTTCGTTTTAGATTATTATATTTTCCGTAATTCAAAAAAAGGCGTCAAACAAAACCACTTCATACAGCTTTTGATTCGAACTATACAATTGTACTTGGGATTACCTTTTATTGCTTTTTGAACGTGGCATTAGATAATTGAATCATTCGTTTTCAAAATGGTTTTAAAACAAGCAAATCGAAAAAGAAAACTTTTGAAATTATATGTAAATTATTTTTATTAAAAAGAAAAAAAAAATTTAAAAATTTATTAAATACATATAAATAAACGAATAAAAAAACAAAATTAGTCATCTCTCCATGTTATTTCAACTTCATCAGTTCTATATCTTTGAGTAATAGTTGTGTCCTCCCATGGTGTTTTTTGTCCACTCAAAAACATTTCTACTCCTGCTTGTGCAATCATTGCACCATTATCAATACAAAACCTGTCATCTGTTGCATATAGAGTTGCATTTCTTTCTTTACACATAATTCCCATCATTTCTTGCAATTTTTGATTACATCCTACTCCTCCTACCAATAATACTTCTGAACTCCCACAATGAGCCATAGCTCTTTCTAAAAAAAAAAAAAATAAAAACATTTAAGAAGAAAATAGAATTTGTTTAATTAAATAGAATTATGCACAATACTTAAATACCTGTAGTCTCTATAAGCATAGAAAATAAAGTTTCTTGCACAGAATAACAAATATCCTCTTTTGTAATTTTTTCTCGTTCATCAGTACTGTTGAGCAAATTTAAAACTTTGTCCTCAATATATGATAATATTCCAGAAAATGAAACATCCATTCCTTTTACAACATATGGTAACTGAATAAATTTTTTTCCTCTAGAAAAATTTTAAATATTAAAAATAAAATTCATTTTTAAAAAATGAACTTTAAATAAATAAACTTTATGCATACTTTAATGCCATTTGTTCAATATTGTACCCAGGACTTGGATCATTTGATAACATTAGAAGTCTTGCCACTCTATCCAGACAATTTCCGACTGCTATATCTATAGTTTCCCCAAATATTCTATACCTTTTTTTGGAGTAGCCAATCACTTGGGTATTACCACCACTGACATATAGGATTGTAGGATTTTTACCTCCTGTTACAAGTCGTCCCATTTCAATATCTAATTTTTATTAAAAATAGTATTGTGCAAAGATTTAAAACTAAAATACGATAAGGTTTTAAAAGGATACGTCCTATACAATGATTAACTCCTATAATGGGTTTATTCCAAAGTTTTGCTACTGTTCTAGCAACTATGGCACAGACTTGAAGAGGTGCACCCATTCCAGGTCCTTTAGTGTAACAAACAACATCAATATTTTCAGGTTTAACATCACTCTCGTCAAGAGCTTGTTTTAATACAGACAGTATATGACTTCTGTGGTGTTGAGCTGTTTCTTTGGGTAAAAACCCTATAAAAAGTAAAAATTTATTAAGAAAAAAATGTTAATTTTAAGTTTATTATTACTAATACAATAAATTTCATAATTGTGTACCTTCTCCTGGTGGTGTGATAAAAGTTTTTCTAGGGTTAGCCAAAACTTTACCATCTTTTATTATTCCTACCCCCAGTTTGTTAGCACTTCCTTCAAATCCTATAGCTATAACCATTTTTTAATAATACATTATTTCTGTACTTAATACTTAAAAGAATTGTGTGAATCACGATTGGCGGTTTATTCGTCATAGAATATATAACTTATGTGTTATCTATGAAAACTACTATGAATCAAGTAACAGTCCTACACAAAAAATAATGAGGAAATTTTTAAATTATTTTTATTTGAAGTAGTTAATTTTTTTTTTGTTACGTAGTTTTTAAATAATAATATTAAAGAAAAATGGGAATTTTTTTTAGTAGGAAAAAAACTAGAATAACTGAACAAGATAAGGCCATACTAGTAAGTGTATAACTATCTACTTAGGTAAAGTGTAGGTAAAGTTTTTTTTTTTGAATTTTAAAAATGCAATTTAAAATACAAAATTATTAGAAAATTATTTTAAAACTTGTACTACATAAAAATTTCTTTTAATCTTCATTGATTTCTAAAATGTTCTGAATACTTCAGGATCAGAAAAATGCAATGTTGTCTTTTTTTTCATTTGTTGCAATAGTAGATAATTTAAAATAAATAAAAAAATATATAACTTATTTTCTAATTTTTTTTAGCAATTAAAGCAGCAAAGGGATAAACTTAGGCAGTACCAAAAAAAAATTGAAAATAATTTAGGTAGAGACAGAGAATTGGCCAAAACATTGATTCAGAATGGAAGAAAAGAGTAAGTTTACATTATTAAAACTTATTAAATTTAAATAATAATATTATGCGCAGTTATTTATTAAATAAATTAACTGTTTAATTAGGAGAGCATTGTCACTTTTACGAAAAAAAAGATTCCAAGAAGAGCAATTAAACAAATTAGATAAAATGTTGGAAAACATTGAAAAGATGACAACAGATTTAGAGTTTACTCAGGTTGAAATGAATGTTATAGAAGGCTTAAAAGCTGGTAATGTAGCTCTTAAAAAGTTACATGAAATTATTAGTGTGGATGATGTTGAAAGAATAATGGATGAAACAAGAGACGGAATTGAAAAACAACAAGTTAGTGCCATTTTATTTTAAACATTTTTTTCTCGAGCAGTTAAAAAAATTTTTCTCCATCATAATAACTGTTTTAATTTTTTTTGTTAATTTAGGAAATAGATAATTTATTACATGGAGCATTGACTGAAGAAGATGAAGAAGCTGTTTTAGATGAATTAAATGAAATTTTAAGCGGAAGCGAAGAAACTACTGGAATAGTTAATAAACTGGATAATTTGCCTGAAGTGCCTGAGTCATTAGGTAATACAATAATTTGTAAAAATTTAATCTCTTTAAATTATTATCAAAATAAGTCATTAATTTTTTTTTTTATCTAAATATTTTAGAAACAGAGGAAGAAGAAGAAGAAGAAGAAGAAGAAGCAGCAGCAGCAGAACCTGTAGAAAGAAAAAAAATAAAAAAAAACAACAGGAGAGAAAAAATTGCTCTCGAAGGTTAAATTTAAGTTTTCATAATGTGAATAATTAATTCAGTATTTTTGTACTTTACATAAAAACTATAACATAATGGAAAAGATTTTTTTTTTTTTTTTTTATATACACATATTAAATTAATTTAAAAAAATTTTTTTAATCATTTACCTTGATTGAATTTTAAAAAATTAATTTTTTTTAAAAACCATTTTGTAGATATTTTAATTCTAATAATGAATGTGATAAAAATTTTTCAAATAAAAAATAATTATTAAAAAAAAAAAAAAAAGAGAGAAAAAAACATATACAAATTAAATCTTTGGTATAATTTAATATCATTTAAGTTTAGTAATTTTTATATAATGGTTACTTTTAAAAATTTACATTGACAAAAAAATACTGACATATTAACAAAGATAAATACTGTAAAAATTAATGACTTTTGTCTATAGTTTTTTTTTGAGGAGCTGCTAATGCAAGAACTTCCTCGCATACATTTTTATAAATCCAAGCATCACCATGTAATCTTTTTCTTCTTATTCCAACGACCGCCTCTTTTAAACAATCATCTTTTTTAAATTTTGTCATATTTTTGGTTATTGAAGAAGAAACAGAGGGAATCCAACAAACTTCCAATTCGAATGAGAGTTTATCTTCATCTTTTTTATTTTTATTGTCAGTAGATAACTTTTTTAATTTTCCTTTCAATACAAATCTAAAAATATCATATATATTGATTGTTACCATTAAAAAAATTTTCTTTTTCATTTTTTATTTTTATTTTTTCTCATCTTTGACTTACCCTTTTTTTCTGCAAGCAATCCCTTTTTCTTTTAATGTATTTTGCAACTTGAGAAGTGTTTCTTCCGGAGATTTGCTTGTGGTTGTTGAAACGTTTGAATAGTTTTTACCCCATAAAATAACTGGCTGGATATTTTCAGTCAAATAATTTTTTCTTTTCGGAGTAAGAGCTGATTTTGCTTTGTGTAAACTTTTTTCTAATCCAACCAAAAGTTTTTTAGCCGACATCGGAGTTTTGTCATTCGAATTTGATATTTTTTTTAATACCGGCGTAACATTTTCTTTAATTCTTTTAGGTTCGGGACCATTTTTTTCTCCGATTCCCGGACTCCTTAATCGCTTACAATTTTTTCTGGTTCTTTCTCGATTTTCCATACTTTTATCGGTTACTTCTTTGTTCATAATATACGTTTCGGTTTTTTTCATGGTTTGGTTTTGGTTTTTTTCCCATTTTTCAACTGCTTGTCTATATGAAGCAGAGTGTGCCCTCTAAAATTGATAAAAATTGTTAATTTCCTCACATTCATTTCAATGTATTTTAAAAAAAAAATTTAATCAATGTAAAAAGATGTATATTTACTTTTTTCAAAGTAGTATTATTACCAATAGTCAAAACTTCATTATTTCTTTTCTTGTTTAATAATATAAAGTATGTTGCCATGATGTAATCATATTTTTCCTTTGTTATTTCATCCCATATTTCCTCGGGTGACATATTAAAATGAGATGACATTAATTGTAAAACTTCAGCATCGTTAATTATTTTAGGAATGGTATGACCACTGTCAATTTTATCAAATTCTAAAATTATCATTTTTCAATTATATTTATTATTAAAATTATTCCTTTTTAAAAATTTTATAATAATATTTTTGTTACCTTTTTTAAACCAAGGATGAGCTATTAATTTACTTGTAGTAATTCTTTTTCTCGCATTAACTTGTAAAAGTGAATTAAGGAGTGATTTACTCTCTGCAGATAACCATTTTTTTTCTTCATAATAACCACTTAAAATTTTTTCATACAATTTTTGAATGCTTTCATCTTCAAATGGTAAACATCCACATAAAAGTGCATATAAAAGAACACCCAAACTCCAAATATCAATTTCATGTCCTAAATATTTTTCTCCTTTTATAAGCTCAGGAGCAGCATAATTTGGCGAACCACATGATGTATATAAATTAGCATCTAAACCTGAAAAAATTTTTTTTAAAAAAATTTAAATTTATAAAACTTCAATGATGTAAAATAAGTGAAAGTTTTTTTTTTTTGTTTATAATGCATACCGTTTTCAGGTTTTACGGAAAGTCCAAAGTCAATTAATTTCAAATTATGATTTTTGTCTAATAAAATATTTTCTGGTTTTAAATCCCTGTGTGCAAAGCCTTCATTGTGTAAATAACTGACTGCTAAAACAATTTGTTGAAAAAATTTTCTAGCTTCATTTTCAGATAATTTTTCTTTTTCAACAATATAGTCAAATAATTCTCCTCCGTCACAATATTCCATAATAAGAAAATAGTGAGTATCAGTTTCTAAAACTTGATAGAGATCACATATATTAGGATGGGAAAGAGACTTCAAAGCTTTTATTTCATGTTTGACCCTTGGTAAATCATCCATTAATGTTTGCTTGAGCATTATTTTAATGGCCACTTTTTCTCCTGTTAAAATGTGAGTAGCTAATTTTACTTTGGCGAATCCTCCACATCCAATCGTTTTATCTATTCTATACTGATTATGTAAAGCTGAATACTCCATGATGTTTATGCTTTAATTTTTATTTTAGTAAAGTATTCATAAATTTTATTTATGAAATGTTTTCATTTACGAAAATAAAATAATTAGGTGTAAAATTTTTATGTGTTAATAAAAAAAAATATTACACTAAAGCTCTTGTAAAAAGCAAAAAATCATATAAATAAATATGTAGCAAACAATTATAAGTTTAACCGTTACGATTTAACGATCGACTTGACAAAGCACAAATATATTATTTTTAATTTATAAAAAATACATAAAATTATGTTTATCTGTATAATTAATATTAATCAATCATAAAACACTTAAAGATAAATAAAATCACATAAAAAAGACTGTTAATAATATAAACAGAAAAAAACGAATTCTAAACAACTAAATATGGCGGAAAAATAACGGATTTACTCTATGTAATTAATTTAACTGTCAAAAAATTATGTTGGCACTACGTATCTAACGATATTTCATAATATTAAAATGTTTAAATT